TGTCAGGATTACAGGTGTGAGCCATTCTGCCAGGTCTAGTACTCTAATCTCTTGCATCCCCCTTGTGTATTTGTTGAATCCATCTTATTCCAGTTCATCCTCCACATAGCCACCAGAGTGAAACAACTTCAAATGGCTTTCCCAATGCCAGAACTGTGTTCTGATCTTGTGTTTCACCCTAGAGATGACAGCACTTCTGAGAGTGGAGGTGTCAGGGCAGATTTTTTGAGATGATGGGGAGTTTGAAGAATCTCTTTGGGAAAGTTGAGAGTGAGTCTGTTAGAGGTGAATAAATAAGCTGCTTAAGGTGAGGACCACTCTAGCATGGGTTATTAGGAAGTCCAGTTAGCATGGTAATTTGACCTACAGCAATGCTTGGGAGGACTGGGAATAGAAGGAATAAATTTGTGGATTCGATTTACCTATAGTGGGGGTTGGAAGATAGGACTGATGGCAGAAAGCCAGGGCCGGCTGTCGGAGGCCTAGCAAGGAGCACTGGGGAGGGCTCGTACTGGTCCAGTTGGTTTGGGTGGGGCAAGTAGTAGCTCCAAGGGAAGATTAGCCTCACGCCTAGGCAGTGGTTGCCAAGAAGGGCGCTCAGATCTAGGGGTTCTCCAAGCCTAACGAGGTTGTGGTCGAAACAGTAATATTGGGTTGGGCACTGCTAGGATCTTGGAAGTAGAGGGTGATAGTTTCAGAACAGAATGTTGGAGGGTCTAAGGGCCGCCCTCTTTGCATGTAAGTACAGACAGTAGCGGAGGAGGAGATAGTGTCCTAAGTTGACGAGTTCAGTTCAGACAAGTAGTTGGGAACTATATGTTTACGTAGATACTTGGAAGAGGTAGGACAGAGGAAAATGTGTTATAAAGGGCTGGAGGCCAGGGCATTGGTGGACTCATACTATCACCCAACACGCTTTGGGGAGTAGCGAAGGCAGGCAGATTACTTGAGCCCGGCAGTTTGGACCCACCTGGCAACATAGAAGACCCATCTCTACAAAAAATAAAAAAAAAAAAATTGATCTTTAATAACCCGATATTGGTGGCACACGCCTTGTGGTCCAGCTGACTCAGGAGGCTGAGTTGAGAGATTTTGACCGGGAGGTTGGGCGCAGTGAGACCTGTCTCAAAAAAAAAAAAAAAGGAACATTTTATTTGAGGAGAATAAACACCCCAGCTATGTGGAACTGAGAGGTTGTTATGTTGAAGGGAAGAGGAGATTAAAGGTAGAAATGTACGAAGAGGCTTCAATGGCTAGACGAAAGTTTGAAGAGAAATTGTAGCTAGGAAAAGAACCACTGCCCAGTAGCAGGTGGGCCGCGCTCTTCCTCGCCTCAGTTTCTTAGATCTCAACCCAAGATTAGATAAATGATGCCAGGCCAGGCACAATGGGCTTACGCCTGTAATCCAGCACTTTGGTGAGGGCCAAGTGTGGTGAATCACTTGAGGCACAGGTGTTTGAGACCAGCCTGGCAACAGATGGAAACCCATCTCTACTAAAAATACAAAATTATCCAGTCCTGGTGGACATGGCCTGTAATCGCCAGGCTACTCGGGAGACTGAGGCAGGAGAATCGCTTGACCCAGGAGGCAGAGGTTGCAGTGAGTCGAGATCCCAGCCTGGGGACCAGAATGAGACTCTACTCAAAAAAAAAAAAAAAGAATAAATCACTTGGGATGTCAGTTACCATTTGATGAAATAGAAGTTTAAGAAGAAGCTGAATGTAAAGCAGATGCAAGTAGAACCTCTCTGGTTAACTATAGAGGCTGGATCCTGTTAGCTGCTGCTGAAGATCAGAGCTTCTCAAAGATCACAGAACAGCACCTTTAGCATCACCTAGAAACTTGTTAGAAATACATATTCTTGGGCCCTACGTTGACCCTACTAGATCTAAACCTCTATGGGTGGGGCCTAGGAATCTGTATTTTAACAAGCCTTCCAATTCATTTTGAAGCAAGTTCAACTTTGGGAATCACTGTTCTAAAGTCTAGACGATCTCTGAGGTCCTTTTTGGTCCTGAAACCCAATACTCACAGTATATTATTCTACATAAAGCAAGAAACCTATAAATGCTGCTCATTAAGAGATTTAGTAACCAAATTAGAGTTTGAGGAAGACTAATTTTGTGGAGGAAAGGCAAAGAGGAAGAAATGGAAGAAGCAGTACTACCGTTGGCCCTTAAACCACATGGGGGTTGGAGGACCATCCCCCTTCCTCCTTACACACGCAATCAGAAATCCCCATGCAGCTTCTGACTGCCCAAAAACTTCTGTACTAATATCCCACTGTTGAACAGAAACCTTACCAATAACATAGACAGTTGGTTAACACACACTCTGTACATTATATGTATTATAGGCTCTATTCTTGCAGTAATATAAACTAGAAAGAAAATGTTATTAAGAAAATCGTAAAGAAGAGAACATACATTTCCCTTTCATTAAATGGAAGTGGATCATCTTAAAGATCTTCTCCATTGTCTTCAGATTGAGTAGGCAGGGGAGGAGGAGAAAGGAGCGGGGGTAAGTCTTGTCTCAGGGTGGCAGAGGTGGAAGAAACTCTGTGCATCAGTGGACTCTCAAAGTTCAAACTCGTGGTGTTCAAGGGTCAAGTGTAGTTTGAAGGGCTTTAACTTAGTTCAGGTGAGGAAGATGGGGCAACTGGCACCGGGGGATCAGCATACAGGTGTAAAAGCTCCTCAGGAAATCAATTCTTGCCTAACTCTGGGAGGTTATAAAACAAGTTCCCTAGAAAATCTCTAATTGTCTTCTGCAACAATATTACTATTAATGACATTTTCTAAGGTATTTAGTTCATTTTCCTAGATGATCACGTAAATTGAGTCATTCCCATGTAGCAACATGACAGAATTATGTTAATCTGCTTATATTGTCTGGCATAATTGACTCAATCCATTCCTACTACATTTCTTGAAGCAGAATTCTTTTGTGATGTGTGATAAATACATTCTTAACTATGTATATTTACACAAAAGGGCTGAAAAGAGTAATGAGCATGGTGTCAAGCTGAAGAAGAAAACAGCAGCTGACTATGGAAATAGTTAACACACATGCACACAGTTCCAACCTGGCACAGCCCTGCCTGAGCTTATCATTCTCCATACCATGCCATTAGGAGCAGTGTTTGCCATTTGACTTTGCCTGGGAATGTGGTTTCCAAACCAGCATCTTGACATTTACTCTTTAACTAATTATTTAATTCATCAAATTCAATGAGTTCTTACTATGTCCCAGGCATTGTGGTTGGTACGGGAGAACAAAGATCGAAAAGAAAAAATGCCCTCAGAACTCTCCAGTGGAACTGATAAAAAAAATAATAATAATAAAGGAATACTTGGTACTATATAGCAGAGGTAGGCTAGGGGTGTGCATGGGGTGAGAACCATGGAGCGGTGAGGACCACATCAGTGCGCAGTGGTCAGGAAAGGCTTGAAAGAACCCCTCTTTAAAGTTGGAATATATTTTAAATATATAACAGAGAAGCAGACATATGTGTTTGAGAACTCAGATTGATGAGTTTATTTCTGGTTTCTGACATTGTATCCACATGCGAGACCTCCAGGTTTCTTTGAGGCTAAATGAGTGTTTCCTACTTGTTAGTTCTAGATGTTTTTCATTGGGAAAAGTGAAAATGATTTGAAATTTATTTTGGTTTCTTTATAAGATTTTAGCTTTGGGAACAGTGAATAGGCTGGAATGCATTTCTATGTTATCTATTTAATATGAACAATCATGTTAGGGAAAATGTTTGAAAAAATCTTGTACATTTGGAAACTCAACTACTGAAGGTCATGGGCCAAATTATTGTATATCAAAATGCCATAGCAACTTCAGACAGACAACTTGGCTTGTATTAACGTTTCCTGTAATGAGTGAGCAGGGAATTATTTGGATGACAGGCTGATTACCTTAGAAATGGAATAATTTCCTAAATTATGGGTCACAAGTTGACCTTTTCTTTTCTTTTTATTATTATTTTTTTTCATTTTCAAGCAACTGAGATCTTGCTCCATTTTACTGATCATGTAAATGAGCTTAAAGTGACTGTAATTCTACTTAGTGCATTAATTTTCATACCAATGCTTATGGTTACCTTAGGAAGAGCTGCTCAGTTGTTTAAAATGTAGCTTGGTCTATGGTTTTAATTATCTGTTTTACAAAACGAGCTTTTTGCATCTTGGAATCCTTTTCTTCTCTTCTCTTATGTAT